GCATAAAAACTGGTTTTCAAATAATCCGTTAAGAGATCGATGTTGGAATACCTTATATTTTATATGAGATATATTCACCCTATTTCGTTTAAGGTGATGAAGGACTGGTAGTAGAATCTTCCCACAATGATGTAAGTAGAGCTGAAGTTTCCATTAAATTTTACATAGCATTGCTTTCCCATAAGTTGTTCTCATCCCGGCTAGAGTGGACTGCAGTTTCGATCTCGCATAAGTCATATCAACACCCCCAGCGGGAGTCGAACCTTGAAAGTGCAGCATGTGAGCTTGATACGTTAACCACTCGGCCATATTGTCACGAGTGCCCTTGGGTCACAGGGCAGATGTGAATCTCAAGGAAGGCTAGTCACTTTCCCATATCACATTTTTTGGTGGGGATTTTCGATGCAGCAAACGTATTTTTGCTATAACAATCGATTAAGGTACTTATTTTTCGTATCCAAGTACGGTTTTAAGACTACCAGTAAATCTGTTATATTAGGTGTATTCACCCAGTCCTTCATCACCTTAGACAAAATAGAGTGAATATATCTCATAAAATTGATTTACTGGTAGTCTCGAAACTCTATTCATAATCGAAAAATAAGTAATGTGGTCGATTGGTATAGCAACAGATAGTTCGCTTCATCGACACTCCCACCAAAGAATGTGAATGTGATATGACTGGTCATTCTTGAGATTCACATCTGCCCTGTGACCCAAGGGCACTCCTGGCAATGTGGCCGAGTGGCTAACGTGTCAAGCGCCTATTCTGCACCGTCACGGTTCGACTCCCGCTGGTGGTGTTGATAAGACCTAGACGAGATCGAAACTGCAGTCCACTCCAGCCGGGATGAGAACAACTTTTGTGAAAGCAGGGCTATATGAAATTCAATGGAAACGTCAGCTCTACTCATATCATTGTGGGAAAATTCTATTAACAGTCCTTCATCACCTCAAACAAAATAGGGTGAATATATATACGCGAATAAATTCGTCATTTTGTCTCACCAGAAACCAAGGGAGGATTACCTTGTAACTGTGAATCTAGCTTTGTGCGAATAAATTCATGGCTCTTTGTCCCGCGACCTCAATGAATTTTTGATGAGCTTGCGTCAGTCATGTGACAGACACGATCAGAGCTGTATGAAAATTCATCAAGCACGAAGGAAAGAAAGGTTGCCCTCTTCAATCTTACCTACTTATTGCAGCTTTTGTCCACTTAATGAGACGTCTCATGATTTGGTTGAATATCCCAGATGCTTGCTGAAAAGTGAAGTGGCTGAGGTTAATATGTGAGGTGCCTGCTCCTAAATAAATTAACCTCAACTAGTAAGTTGATAATGAATAAATAAGAGAAAGCTATCGAATCGCTCTTAATATGTGAGAGCTCAATTGGCTTCGATACTATTGAAAAATGTATTCACTTTTATAGAAATTGCCATCTGTCCTTTTGTGAATCAATGCGGCAGGTTAACAATTCACGTCATTTCTAAATATTCTGGAGTAGAGTGTGATACATGCTAGAGTTAACTTTGAAGTGTTTTTAATATATTTTTATTGCTTTATATTAAGTAATGTTTTATATCACCTTATCTTTTTTGAGCACTAGGCCTGAATTATTTAGAAGAATCGCAATTTTAGTTAATCAAACTGGCCTTTTTTGTCAAAGATATAGTTCCTGTCTGAAACCTGACATATTTGCCTCTTTCATCAGTTTAAACCATTTTATATGGGGCCACTATTTGTGACTATAAGCTCTGTAATTTCCCTCAATAAGAATAGTTGAATTACAATAGTTCTCTATTTCTAACATGCCCTATCAAAGCCCGAACTATGAGATCCAGACTACTTTGATTAGCTTATTAACAAGAAGAGAAAGTGGACTAGAATGGAGGCATTGCTGAAAATGGGTTATTGGCTCACTCATGACTCCCTTCACTTCAGCTACAGGCTGTCCGTTGATGCAAACAGTGTATCCTTGTACCGGCAGACTATCGGAGAGATTGGCCGCTGTGGCCGTCGTCAGAGCGGCTCGGTTCTGCGGTACGGGGCGCCAAGTGACGAGTAGAAGACCATCCTGAGGCCCAGGCTCCAAAGCCACATGGGAGGGTGGATCCGGCAAGCCTTAAAATAGAGGTGACATAATCTTTAGAACAAAGACTAAATGAGCTTTATTGCTAAAGCAATGGGGATTGTTAGGCTAAAAATAAACTTGCGCCTTATTGTGATTTCGAGGAAAGTAAGAGTAAAGTTTTGCAGGCTAAGGACAAGGTCTCAAAAAGTCATGAAATGGAAGTGTTCAGGAATAATAAAATTGGATAATCCAAATCTAGATCTATCACATCCTCTCAACTGTTGCCATAATACACGAGTTTGAGGATGGACTGCTCGATTTTGGAAAATATGATAACTAGTACATTAGGATTCCAAAACCAGAAGGGCAAAACTACGGGTATCAAGCGTGAGAGCTGTCCTCGGTGAGGCTATCACAGTCTATCATAAGTTTGGTGCCAGACATGTAAATTAATCTTCGAGTATGGTAGATAGGGTGATCAAGATCGAGGGCATTTAGACAGTCAATTAAATAAGGCGGGGGTAGCCTGGCTGGGAGGACCAGATGACAGAAAGTGGCAGAAGTGGAGTACCGAATACACGAATCAATTTGGGTCGGGATGCAAAACCTGTAATGAATGTATCACTAAACCCACTCGAATGTGCACACACTTGGGATAAATATGAATATATTAGGATAAAGTTATATTTAAATATGAAAAATGGCCCTGTGAAATTGGAGTGGAGAGATGTAAAAACGAAAAGAAAATTAGTCGCAAGTATCATCTCAACTTGCCACTTTGATGAAGCTCAGTAATAAGGCTAGTGCTCACTACTGTCGACGTTGAATATAAAGGAGGCAAAACTTATGAGAGTCTATATAGGTAATGACCGGAAGCTGAAAATTACCACTGTTGCTATGACAGTAGAATCAAAACTGACTAAACACTTTGAGGTCTCCTTGACACCACGACCAAGTTGCGAAAATAGGATTAATTCGTCAGCGTGTGAAGATATGTCTTCCGCAGGGAGCATATAAAAGTAGTTATCACTAAAATCTATCATGACGGTGATCTGTTATCCCGGTAAAGTAGCCAAATGCCCTCTGGCTAATCAAGCATTTAGAGTCCTTTAGTTCAAGGAGGCGAGCGGAAGTGAAAAGGAGCAAAATTTCTATTCATATTATGCACTAGATAGAAAATTACTGATTTCGAAATAGTCAGAAGCAACTAAAGGTCTTTTTAAGAGTGTTAATTTTAACTGATATGGATCCCACAATAGTCCAGCATATATTTCTATAGCACCTAAAATATTTGCCAGTAACCTTGCTGTATAGACGAAAGCCACTCGCTTATGAAGAACAGCAGGCTTTTAAAGAATTTCTTGATGATAATAAATTGTGACATTGCTCTACTTTTCAAAGGAAAAGTTGGTTGGAAGGAATTCGTGAAAAGGTCGCATTGGAAACCAAAGTGGGAGTGTCGTGGAGTGAAGACCGTTGGATTGTGGAAAGAAGTCCTCGGCTCACCAGCCCGTCACCCCGATTAACCTGTACCAAGCTTTCGCTTGTACTGTGACGGACATTTTCAAAACAAAAATGCATATTAAATATATGAAGACCAAGATGTTGTGGCCTCTGTTATGGTCGCAGTCTCTTTTCGATTTATAGAAGTG